GCGTCGCTGCGATGGAGAAGCCGACCTCGAGAGGGAGAGAGACGGCGGTGACGGAGACGCAGACGAAGACGAGGAGGTCGAAGAGGGCCATGCGGCGCGAGTGCGGGTGCACCACCAGCCAGTCCCACCCGTGCGCCTCGTCGTGCACCAGCGCGCCGTCCTGCGCCTGCCTCCGCTCACGCGCGAGCCGCTCGGCGCGCCGCGCCCGCAGCTCAGCGACGAAGCGCTCGGCGACGCCGGAGGTGGGCGCGTCGTACGAGGCGTGTCGCCGCGCGGCGGGAGATCCGCGTCGCCGCATGATCCCCAACGAGCGCCGGATCCCCAACGAGCGCCGGATGGACCAGCGGCCCGGCGGCAGCTCCTCCAGCGCAGACATGACGGCCGTGCTGCCCGCCGACGTGCCCGTCGAGGTCAGCGTGCTGCCCGAGTCGTCCGTGGGAGAGGACGGGCGGTCGGGGCTGCCCATTCGGCAGACGTGCGCGGCTCAGAGATGGTGGTACCAAAGTCCTTGTATCGGAGGGAGGCTCGACCGGCGGTTGGTAGTACTTGTGGATTTTTCTTGAAGAGATTTTTCTTTTTTCAACACTGAAACACCACCAAAAGCAAGGCGGACATGGCATATTTTTGTGAGTCGTGGCGCTGCCCGTGTGTTCGAGCAATATCGAAAGACAGTGAGGCCGGGGTCGCACACGGCAGGGGTGGCGGGACGGGATACCCATCACTGAGCCGACGATGCTACGGGTAGCCCCAGGGTGGTGCCCACCCCCATACCCTCTGGCACTTGCCTGCGCCCTGGCCGCGCATGCCGCGCACGCGCGCGCACGCGCGCGCACGCGCGCGCACGCCCGCGCACGCCCGCGCACGCCGCGCACGCCCGCGCACGCCCGCGCACGCGCGCGCACGTGTGCGCACGTGTGCGCACGTGTGCGCACGTGCGCGCACGCGGCACTACGCCGCACTACGCCGCACTACGCCGCACAGTGTGGCGCTGTGTGGCACTTCCGGCAGGTTGCTGTGAGAGAAGCATGTGTTACCCCCTACACAGCCTTTTACACACATTTAATCACCATCAAGACCCGAGAGCATCTCTTTGACCTCCTCTAGGTCACACCTGTCTGGGCATGACTTAGGGCCAGCTCGCGACCCCTTTTTCCGCCATGCAACAGTGGGTTCGTCCAAGTCCATGACTTCATCCCACCCATCAGCCGGGTAGAAGATACGCATCTGCTGGTCTGGAACTCCCGGCACAAGCTGCACGACAATGCCTGGTTGCCAAGTCCCGGTGTCATCAGTGTGGTCGTCCTCATCCCACCACACAACCTGGACATGCCAGCCGACGATGTTCTGCGCATCATTAGTTGTCTGCCGTAACCCGGCTGTCCCCAATACATAGCCAGCAGGCGTTTTGGCCTGCTGCTGCTGCCCCCCCTCCTGCTGCTGCTGCTGCTGCGTGCGGGAAGCGCGACCGCCAGCCGTGCCACCACCTGCAACACCCTGAAGCTGAGCATCCTCAGCAAGCCCCTCCTCGCCGTCCTCAAAGCCTGGAGTCTCACCAGGGCCGTCTCGCGATCTGGCAGTACGCACCTTGCTGCTGACTTCGAGCTGCCCTGCTCGCAAATCTGTGATGGCAAGCAAGCGCCCGCGGGAGCCTCTACCACGTGGGTCGCGGGGATTTGCTGCAGCATCGACAAAGCCTGCCCCTCCCCGGATGAAGTTGCCATAGGCGTGGCGAATGCGAGAGGATATGGCAGGGTCTTGCCTTTGCCGCATCCCGTGTGGCGGGAGGCGGTTGGTGATCAGATCAGAGATGTGAGGAGGGAAGCAGCTTGTATAACTGCTGCCGCTGCCCTGCTGAGAAGGCTGCGGTAAAGGCGCGCCGCCATCGCTGCCGCCATCCCCGTCACCACTGAGCTTTGCCTCCTCCTCCTTGTCCGCACCTTCGCCGCCGCCTCCGCCGCCTCCGCCGCCGCCGCCGCCCAGTCCGCTGCCGCTGCTGCCACCACCCAGCCCACCTCCGAGCTGCTGCGGAGGCTGTGCTTGTCCAGCCGCTGAAAGCGTGACAAGAAGGTGAAGGCACTTGTCCGGGGTCTGAAGGCCAGCATCCAATAGAGTGGTATTTTGGCATGGCCAACCATTCTCTCTCAGTCCAGTCGGCGATTGGATGTCATTCAGAACTCGGCGAGAAGCTTTATCAATTGCAACAACTGGGCAGGCAGCATTGACGTTAGCTCTGAAGTTGGCAGTTGGCAGTAGACCAGCAGCGCAGGCAACCGTGTGGACAACTGAGGACAACATGTCCCCATACTGATGGCGTGGTTGTGTGACAGTGATTGTCCTGCAGGGGGAGTACCATGCCAGATCAGCCACAATTGTGACATATGTGGCTGGCGTGATTGCCTGCTGCTGCTGCTGCTGCTGCTGCTGCTGCTGCTGCTGCTGCTGCTGCTGCTGCTGCTGCTGCTGCTGCTGCTGCTGCTGCTGCTGCTGCTGCTGCTGCTGCTGCTGCTGCTGCTGCTGCCTGCTGCTGCTGCTGCTGCTGCTGCTGCTGCTGCTGCTGCTGCTGCTGCTGCTGCTGCTGCTGCTGCTGCTGCTGCTGCTGCTGCTGCTGCTGCTGCTGCTGCTGCTGCCCCCGCTGCTGGCTGCCCGCACTGCTGCCCCCGCTGCTGCCCCCGCTGCTGTACCAGCCCCCGCTGCTGCCCCGGCCCCCGCTGCTGCCCCAGCCCCCGCTGCCCCGGCCCCCGCTGCTGCCCCAGCTGCCCCCCCCTAAACACCTCTTGATACAGTCTCTGCCACCATGCTGCGGCGGCCTGGGCGGCCTGAGGACAAGTCCAGGTGAATGCTGCTGCTGCTGCTGAGTAGGGGCCATCAAGAGACCAGGTGATGGAGCCTCCTCACTGAGCTTCTGCTGCAGCTCCTATGGCCAGACAATGAAGCAGTTAGCGGTGGATCATGTGCCGTTTATGGACATGGCTACTATGGACATGGCTACTAGCAGGCACCCTGGCAAAGTTGACAGCATGCCTCAGCACTTCTGTCCCTGGATGTGGGGATGGCTGTGCTTGGTAGTGCTCCAAGTTGAACTGTAGAAAAGGAAGCACCCCCTGTTCCTGAATAGGCTGCGGGCAAGCTGCCCCCTGTGTGCTTAGGTTGTAGACGTAGGCACCTAGCATTTTGCCACCCTGCTCACCAGCCACACCAGTCTTCCTGGAGAGCATGGCTTGTATGATCTCCAAAGGAGCACCCATGTAGTGCCGCCCCACATTTTGCACATGCCTATGAGGGCAGTCGAAGTTAATTACCTTAGTTAGTAACCTCGCTTTTTTGGATTTTTCGATTTGCCGACCCGGCCGGGAGTTGTGTCGTAGAGCTGCTGGTGCTGCGATGCGGCCTGTCTTCCAGCTGGATCCGACCAACACTCTATCATATGCGCCGGATCCAACTCCGTACTGGGCCCACAATCCAAGCTCAGCTTCTCTCGCGGACCCGCTCAAGCTTTGGCCACACGAATACGACAGCGCAAGCGAGAATCGCCGCTGGGAAGACGCCTTTTCGTGGGAGGATGTGCCAGGATTCCACCGCAGCCTCAAGGATTGCACATCATACGAACCTTGTGCGGTCAATTATGCATTCTGTGCCATGTATGATTACATCCCGTGCTACTACGAGAAAGACACAAAGGTGCTTCTGTTCGATGTCAACGACAGCCCGGATGCAAGCGCTGCCCACCAGCGCAAGAAGCGGAACTTTCTTGCAGCCATGCACTATGCAGTGGGATATCCTACTCAGCACGAAATGAAGAACATTGGCATCAGCTATGGCACATTCTCAGAGCAGGTCCGGCCGACAATCTATTCCCTCGCACGGCACGTGAACTTCCTCGATCCGGCACTGCGACTGTGGGAGTACAACCACACTGAGTTCCATCACGAGCGTGTGCTGTGGATCAAAGATGGTGCTCCTTTGACAATTTGCTGCCCCAAAAATCGCTTTCTCCAGCGGTGTGTGAGATCAGGCAAGTACAAGGAGTACGTGCTAAAGTTTGACTATACAATCACCATGTGCGGTTTCCCAATCGATTACAATGGGCTCTTCATGGGTGTCCGGCATGATTCGGCACAGCATTGGTACGCGAAGGAGTTCCTAGCTCAGCTATACCCTTTTGAATATGGTATGGGTGACAAGGCGTACGTCGGAGTTCCCCACATGTATTGTGAGCACAAGAAGCCAACGGGCGGTGAGCTGACATGTGAGGAGTCGATGGACAACCTGTTCATTCAGCACTACCGTGGACGCAATGAGCACCTAATTAGGGAGATGCGTTCACGGAAGAAATGTTTTGCAACCGCATGGCGGGGCTCTTTTTCGCTCCTGTCCGCCATCACACGCTTTGCCGCGCACATGACAGGGCTTCAGGAGCGCATGAAGGGACCGCGGTATGACGTGTATGGCCCCTGGCCAGTGTGTAGCGAAAACGTTTTCCGGTTGTATGGTAAGACCGCCTAAGTGAGCGTTATCCTGTCCCCTGCTGCCCCATTACTATCGAAATCAATACAGCGCGCGCCGGCGGACCGTTCTCGTCACTCGTGATGCGGAAGATGCGGCGGTGCAAGCCCAGCGCCCGCCCATGTCCCGCCCACGTGCCCGCGCCGCGCCTGCCCGCGCCCACGCCGCGCCCCGCCCGCGCCCGCCCGCGCGCGCCCGCGCCTCGGGCACTTGCCTGCGCCTGCACGCCCGCGCACGCCCGCGCGCACGCCGGAGTGTGCGCGACTGCGTGGGACTGTGTGGGGCTTCGCCGGTCTGAGCAGGGTACCTGGGCGTTTTGAAATTCCGTGCAAGGGGGTGCCGAGGTATGCCGCAGGCCGGGATGGAGTGAGATCTTGTGGGGCAGGGCGTGGGCTAGCGCGCGAGGGCGCAGGCAAGTGCCCGAGGGTATGGGGGTGGGCGCCACCCTGGGGCTACCCGTAGCATCGTCGGCTCAGTGATGGGTATCCACGGTTGTGGAGCGAAGTGGCAGTGGCCAGCCTCAAGCATCGATGGGATAATAAGATGAGATTACCAGACGAGAACGGGGGGAAGGACAGGCGGGCGACATTTGACGACGTCGGGGATCACAATGTGACGACCAAAACGATCTTGGGGGCCAGGGTGAGACAACAGGTCGGGGTGCCACATGGGGCACACCACAGGCGTATTCTAGAGGGGGAAAAGAAACGGGGAATAAGGGGCCCCGCCACGAGAAGTGCGTTCTGGGGATGCAGAGCGTGCAAAGCGGCTAGGGATGAGTTCACAAAAGAGGCGCGCGAGGCAAGGAGGAGACGCGGGGAACTGACAGACTGGGACGACTGGAAACAAGAAGACAGTGAGCCACCACAGGCGTCGTTGGCGCACATACTGAGCGGCAGCTGCGCTGGAAATAAGGAAGAGGCGCGTCACTTCATGCGGAAGCTCGATAAACACACAGCGAGGGCGACAGCAAGAGTCGAACGGGAGGCGCCGGACTCAAAAGACACCGCCACATTCCTGAGACGAGCGAGGGCAGCCTCCTTAAAGGCGAAAGGGTCTAGATTTGGGGCGCTCGCCGAAGAGGAGTACGACAAAATAGCGCCCGTGATTGCCTGCACGCTACCCGCACTCACGGACTCCATACCCGAAAGAAAGAGAAGGGAGCTCGCGGGAGAGGTGACGAGCGAACTACAGGTAGTGGGGAAGGCAGCCTCGATTGCCATACAGACATGGGTGCGAAACAACGACAAGACCAAGGCACGGGCAGAGGAACGAGAGAAGAATATAGGGTGGATAAAGCGCCTGTTCACGGCATGGAGGGTGAGTCACACCGAACGTACCGAGCGAAGAGCTGAGCGGAAGGAGGACGGGGAAGATGACTCAGAGGAGGACGAACCAGTGGAAATTCAGTTGTCAGATGTCACGATGCATCCGAAGGGGACTCCAGCGCCGGCATCATCCGTAGAGGCACGAGTGTTCGAAGAGAGAGTGGACCTGAGCAACAACATGACCTGTAGGCAAATGCTCGGAGTGGGAGTCAGAAATGTGGTCCTTGCGCGAGGGGAGCTCGATAGACTCGAGGGGCCAGGATACGCCGCGAGGAGGACGGAGTTGCGCCGACAGGCGAAAGAAGCCGCGAGAACAAGGGACCGGCAGGCGGCGGCGCCGCAGGACGAGACAGAAGAGAACGACGCGACAGAGGAGGAAGTGACAAGGGAGAGAGCGACGAGAGTGGGACGGCCGCGAGGTGGCACGAAGGTTGAAGCGAGAATCGGAGAGAGACTGCGAAGAGAGATAGGAAGAGGCAGACTCCCTAGGGTAGGCGACGGCTAGCGCATCACACTCCTCTCCTTAAAATCCCTGTGTGGTGGCGGCGTGCCGTTCTCCCATCGGTTGCCGTTTGCTTTCTCTCTTTCTTTTTCTTCACCAGCGGCAGGAGAGACGCACATGGCTGCAGCGGAGCAGCAGCGCACCGCCGCGCAGCGCACCGCCGCGCTCGAGCACCTGGTCAATGAGCAGCTCAAGTCAGACCTGCAGCAGGTGCTCGAGCGGCGCGACGCGCTGTACGAGCGCATCGCGCACTGCCTGGAGCTGCGCAACAACATGACGATGCTGCTGGACGAGCAGCTGCACTCGCTCAAGACAAAGGTGCCTCTCCGGCTCCACTCCCTGACAGTCCACTCCATGGCGACACGGACGCCGCGCCGTCGCAAGGCCGTCGACGCATGACTGAGCGCCGCCCGCCCGCTAACCAGGTCAACCTCGGCTGTGACTTTTACGTCGATGCGAGCATGTGTGCATGCCCGACGCACAACTTCCGCCACCCACTACCGCCGCCGCCGCCGCCGCCTGCCTGCCTGCCGCTGCCGCCTTCTGTCTCCACAGGTTTTTGCCGGCCGACCCGCCGCCACCGCCACCGCTCCCTCTGCTGCAGACCCGACACATCGTGGGTGTACGTGAGTGTCGGGCTCGGCTTCCACGCGCAGGCGTGTGACACCTCTCGCCCTTGAGACTCCCGCGGTAGGCTCCTGTGAGAGCCCCTTCTTCGCCACGTGCGCCTCTACGCCCCTCAAGACCCTCGCCTCGAGATTCGGATGTCGCGCCAACGAGAGCTGCGAGAGGCGCCACGCTCCCTCCGCCCGCTGCTCCCTCCTCTCTGGGCAGATGACGCTGGAGGAGGCCGTCCGGTTCAGCAGCGCGCGCGAGGCGCGGCTGAGCGCGGCGGCGGACGAGCTGACTGACCGTGCGGCGAGGCTAAAGGCGAAGATCAAGCTCGTCATCGGCGCGATCGACGAGGTGCAGCGGGGCGGCGCGCCGACGTAGCGAGGGGCGGGTGCAGCTCTTGAGAGCGCGGGGGCGTCATGAGTGTGTGTCGTGTGTGGGTGGAGGGACAGCGCATGGCACTGGAACGTGTGGGTTGACATGCGACATGGGGCCTCGTAGCGTACGTACGCGACAGCAGCGGTGTGCAGCTTATACCTTATATGCGATCTCTGTTGAGTGTTGTCTGTACACGGTATGATTGAATACTCAGTTTAAATACTCTATCCAACCAGCACGGGTGGTTGGCTGTGGAGCCGGCCGCAGCTCAGGGGCGGGTCCCGAGCCCGCTCGAGTCCATGCGGACCACGCCACGTCCCGCCGTCGCCGAGACATACCCGGAGACGGGCCGACTCTGGAGCGCTTGCCTCAGCGCTCACGGCCGCTCAGCTCTGACACACAACTCCTCAGGAGCGTGTCCCAGCTCCAGCCTCCACCCGCTCACGCCTCAGCCGGAGCTAGATTGCTCCGCGTTGGCCTCCTGAGACGCCACACGGCCTTCGTGCATTCTCAGCTTGTGGTAGATCACGCACGCAGCAATCGACAAGGTGAGGGCCTGGAAGTATTGCCCGAAGATGCGCCCGCTCCCGGACGGGATCCGCTCGATGAGAAAGTGCATGTACTCCTTCCACGCCCACCCCACCTACAGAACAGAATCCCGGCGGGTCGAGGAGTGCCACGGGCTCCACGGAGTCCCGCCCCAGGGACATACAACCATGAAGCCTAGCGCGGTGTGGAGCGTCGTCGAGAACTGCTTCAGCCCGGCGGGGCTCTGTGGGTTGTCGAGTAGCCTCGCCAAGTGGCTCGTGTACAGCACCTCCGCGGCCGTGATCGCCACGACGTAGGCGCCGTAGAAGGCCGCGGCGTCCGAAAAGATGAATGCCTCGAGAAATAGCACCTTTGTTGGAGGCGCGGGGAGGAAGGTTGGGTGGGGTGGGCTATCTACCCCATCCGAGGCCTGGGGATGGCGGGGGCGCTCTTCCTTCGCCGCGTCGGACCACGCCCACCCAACCATGTAGCCGAGGGAGATCGACAAGAGGTCGATAAAGTCTGCCCTATCACCCGCGCTCGAAATGATCTGCGCGTCCGTGCTGCTCCCCTCCCTGACGGCCGCAGAGGGGCTGGCGAGGTGCGCGCACACCATAGCGGCAGGCTCTGGTCGAGGAGGCTCTCTCGCCGGCTCGACACCGCGTCGCGCAGGTCTTGCGCGTGCGAGCCGAGCCGCGTGATGGCCCACGCCGCTAGAGCGGTGAGGGCGGTCGCGTACGCGCAGAGCGTGGCCACCTCGGCGCCCTTGACCCAGCTGGGACTCATCACCCAATTCTCTAGCAAGACTGCGGAGAGGGTCGCCGCGGTCTCGTTCCAGCACCACGCCAAAAAGAGGCCAAACGCTCCGGCGAGCATGTTGATCAGGACGAGTGCGTAGTCCTGCTCGACGGCCGAGCGGCGCTGCGCCTTGGCTTGTTGGACCTGTGGCATGCCAAAAGGTCTGAAGCGGGAAGCGAACGCTGTGAGCGCCACCAACATAGCGGACCGTGATGCCGCGAAACCGCATCACCGCAGCGACGGCTGTTGTCGCAGCAACGGCAAAGACGAAGCGGCAGGCCAGGAGTCGCGCCTGCTTGCAGCCACGGGGAGTGGGAGCGAGCCACGAACACAACGTGGCGTTGCAGGCAGCGCACACCGGCTCCACCTTTGGCAGTTGCTTCCAGAGGGAGGTGACTAATGCGTCCTTCCACGCCCACGCGAGGATCATCGGCTGGATGGCGAGCAGCAGAGCGCGCGAGTGCCGGCCGAACAGGCCAAACTCAACATCACCGCGCGGGTCGCGCTGGTGCCGGTTGATGGTTGTGATCATCCAGGGAGTAAGAAGGGTGATGGCCACCTGGCAACGTGCAAAGCGTTGAGGGGCCGAGGAAGAGATTTCAGATTATCGCCAATAGGCGGGGCCAGACTAGGGATGGCTCATCGTCTGGCGGCTGGCGGGCAGGTGCACCGCGTAGATGATGTCAGCAAACGAGGCGAGGGGACCCGGCAGCTCCTCCCCAAACGTGTCCTTGAGGGCGATGGACCAGGACCAGCCGACAGCAACGCCGCAGGCTTTTGCGAATGTCTTTGCTGCAACCTCCCAGTACGTCGAGATCTGCTGAAGCACCGTCTCGCCGGCGTCCACCAAGCCCTATAGAAATCAGTGGATTGCAGTGGCACACCACCTCGGCCGCTGCCTACCTCGGGCTGAGCAGCATAGCCCGGCCTCGGCCGCAGGGCTGAAGCCGTCGAGCAGCCAAGCCGCCTTGTCCACCTGCTGGACTGCGGCTGCGGCCCGGGAAGCACGCCGAGCGCCAGGTGGGAGCGGCATGTCATTGAACTGGAACTGGAGTGTGGGGCGATTTTACTGCCCGGCGCGACTGAAGAAAAGACTGGTTGAGGGGAGGTGCCAAGCAAGGAAGGAGGCCATCCAACAAACAAACGGTACTCGCACGAGTAGTAAGTGATCTGTGAATGAATGCCGCGCATCAGATCCCTCCTTTGTTCTCCTTGGTAAGAGTGACAAAGTAAGAGTAAAGAGAAAAAATACTCGGGCTGTCGCCGTCCCAAACTGTCACTCCCCTTTCTCCCGGCCGGGGTGGGCGCGCGCGAGGGCGGCGGGTGTGCGGGATGTCTGTGGGTCCGAGAGCGATATGCCATGTCCGCCTTGCGTTTGTTTCATAACATCGAAGGCAAAGAGAAAAATTCAACCGCAATTTGCGGACCGGCCCTTGAACTCGGTCATCACCACCCACTCGCGCCGAAGGGAGTGTTGAGCCGATTCTGTGATTGCGGCTGCGTGGTTGGTCGGCGGCCGTCGCGTTCGGTCGTCCCGTGCCGGCCTCGGCGTCGCGGCCCTCGCACACCCTGGGTTCGTCCGAATTCGAATCGCCGTTGTGGAGTACGGGCGCGGCAAAGTCGGCGCCTCGACAGCGCCTCGACGGCGGCCGCAAAAGCCGTCTCCTGCACGTCGCCGCGCGGCCTCGAGGCGCCGCGAGCGTGCGCTGAGGTCAGCACGACTCGCTCCGGCCCGAGACGGCCGACGCGCGCGCTCTCGCTCCCACCTCTCCATCCCGACGCTCCGCGCTCGCTGTGTCGCCCGCGATCGCGGCATAACCACCGAGCCGCAGCGCGGCGCTCGGCCCGCGCCGCCGTCTCACGAGCTCGTCTCTCGCCCGCCGCGCAGGCGAAAACCAACTCCGTCCTCAAGGGCAAGCTCGAACGACTCCCGTCACTGTACCCCTCGTGCCACGCTGCAGCCGCCGCTCTCGTCTCTCCTCTGTCGCTTCGCCGCGGTCGCGGCCGCACGGAGGTGCCACGGGCCGTGCGAGTGATACTCCGCTGCGTGCTGTCCGGCTCCATATACTGCGACTGGTGCGCCGCGGATGTTTGAGAGTGCGGTTTAAAAAGGTCCTGCCCCGCGCCTCCGCGGCACAGAGGCACTGGAGGCAAACTGCGGGCGAATAAATATTTTTGAAGGGATGAACGCGAGCTCGCGGGGTCCACACGAAAGCACCGCTTGGCGGTGTCAGAACCGCCCTCTTGGACCCTGGTGGGCCGAATCTGCGCCCTCTGGGCCCCGGCGGCGGTCCCGGAGAGGGCCAGCACGCGGGCTCCGCCGACGATCTCGCAACGCGGGTCGCGCCGCGCGCCTCCCGAACGAAGCGTGTTGGTGCGCGATGGCGATCCTCGCCTGCGGGGAGCGGAGCACACGCGTCGGATGGCGAGGGCAGCACAAATATTGCACTCACGTCCCAGTATGGCAGCAGCCGGACGGGTTGGGTGGCGTGAGGACAGGGGGTGGTGAGGATGATTCCACAGATCTCGCTGAAAATGGCCGTGTCCTTCCCGGGGGAGGCAGGCGAGCGCACACCTCGCGTCCGAGCGCGAGTCGACGAGTGGTCGCCGAGAGATCGCCGAACCACGTTTCGAGTGCGCGCGCCGCGCACACAGCACAGCTGCGGGTTGTAACTCGACTGCCGATCGCGCGCGCGGGATTTGAATGGAGCTCGCTGGCGCCAGTGCACGGCAGCACCGCCTAGTATCTCGGCCGGAACGAACGAGCAGTCCCCAATCGACACGTTGAGGACGCTGGGCTGGATCTGTTGAACTGCCACAGCGGGCGGAGGCGCGGGTGCCAGAGGAGGGTGACGGCCGGCGGCGGCGTACGGCGGCGAGTCGGAGGCGAGGGGGTGGCCCTGCCGCGCGACACCGGCGCCCCGTCGGGACCCACGCTGGAGCAGCTTCGGCGTCTGGCGGGGCTGCTGCGGCGGGCGGGACTGCGGCGGCGTACTGGGGCGCGAAGCGGCAAGGTTGGGCGGCGGCGACGGCGCGGCCGGCGATCGGCTCGAGGCGGTCGATCTGCCCGGTGACTGGGTCTCCTCTCCGCTACCCGCGGCCGGGGCGAGCCCGCCCTGGGGGCCCGCGTGCGTGCCCGCTGTCGTCGCCATTTTCTGTCGATTGCGGCGGCGCCGTACGCCTCAACGAGCGGGTCGCCGAGCGCGCCGCGCGGCTCTGGGCGTGCCGCGTCGACCCTCTCGAGCGATCGGGCCGCCTCCGGGCGCGGCGCGTCGAACGGCGCGGCCGTCAGCGAGGAATCGGCTCAACACTCCTGGGCTGGAATTCGGCGCGGGTGGAAGGTAGGCACGCCGCCATCCGCAAAAGGGATTACCAAACACACGCCGTCAGCTCACTATTCGGCATGGCCATCCTCTCGGAAGTCTCCAACGTGACTCTCGGAGGTTCGCATCGTTGCGTGATAGTCGAGCTGGCGCCTGTGGGGGCGGCGGAGCCTGAGGTAGCGACGGCGGAGCGGGAGATGGAGGCGGCGCAGCGCCACGTCGCTTGGCGCCCCGACGAAGATCTGGTCCTCCTTCTGATGTTTCGCAACGGCGCGGGCTGGAGCCGCATAGCCGAAGCACTACCGGGCCGAGCGGGCAAAGAAGTTTTGTCGCGGATGTCGCAGCTGCAGGTGAAGCACGGCTTCAGCGCTTCCGACGAGGGCAGGCTGGTACTGGACTCTTTGCTCTTGGCCTGCGGCATCGACGAGACGGCCTAGAGAACATGAAGCGCGACGGCTTGGCGCTGTACAGCGGCTCTAGATACGCTGCCCGCGAGAAACAGCTCTCGTTGAGTCATGGTGTGCTGCACCTGAGGCGGCACGCGCGGTGGCCCCTGCATTTCACATGGCCTTGGGTCTCTCTCTCGCATGTTTTTGTATGTGTACGTACGAACTTTTAGCTTACTGGGAGAAGAGGAAGAGGGAGTCTATGTGTGTGCACATGTCGCATAAATTTGTCTTAAACAATTTAGAGACCTGGCGGAAAGTACACCTACAACTTTTACGGAAACGGCCAAACGGGGCCATGGCCGACGCTCGCGATGGCCCGTCCGTTGCGGCCAGGCTCAAACTGTGCGCGCAAGCCACAGGAGAGGCGGTGGCGCCGCAAGACGAGGCGATGATTCGCATCCTCTCGCGGCTCGCCGTGGAGAACAACTGGTGGAGCTTCAGCGTCAACCCGACGCCCACGGGCAAGCAGTTCATTGTCCAGCCCCAGTCCCAGTGGGAGAGGGACAGGGAGCGGCAGCAGGCCAAGGAGGGCAGTGCCCCACCGCAGCCTGTGCCTGCTGCCACTTCCGCCGCGGCACCGCCCGCAGCACCGCCTGCCGCCGCTGCAGCTCCGGCAGCAGCACCGCAGGCACACCCGCAGCACCAACAGGTGCAGCAACCCCAGCCCAACGAGTCGCCCGAGGGGTGGACCAGGGTTGGGAAGGGCGGCATGCCGGACAGGTTCACCATGAGGAACCATGGCCGCAAGCCGCCGGGCAAGGCGGTCAAGCGCAAGCCTGACCGCCAGCCCGCACCCAAGGGAGGTGGACCCCCACCCACCTCTCCCAAGGTGAACAAGAACAGGCTGAGCGCGCTGGGCGCTGGCCCTTCTGGCACCAGCGGGAGCCACGAGCGCGCACCGCCGCGCTCCCCCTCCCCCTCCTCGCCGCCTGCCAAATCACCGCGGCCATCTGCGCCTGCTTCCGAGTATGACTCCGAGCTCGACCAATACTTTTCCGACGCCGAGGCGCGGGATAGGGTGGCAGGGGTTGTACACGACGCAGTGCAGCAGGCTGTGATGCAATACGGCTATGACGACGAGCTCTTCCAGGATTGGAGGGACGGCAAGATAGGCGAAAAGGACTTGCCGGAGGAGGTGATGGCTATGACTTTGGACCTTTGCGAGAGGTGGCGAGCGGAGCAAGAGCGGTGTAGGCGCGTCCACGCGGCGCAGCGGCTCTCCCGCGACCCCGGCCCCTCTCGTAGCCGCAGCCGTAGCCGCAGCCCCAACTCTTGCCGCTCTTCCGTGTCGGGTTGTGACGAGGGGTGAGGGGACACGGATTGAAGATCCCTCACACCAAGATCGTGCAGGGCGGGGACACACGTCCCTAAATCCCATCTCGTCTCAGAGTTTGTCCGTTTTCTTTATTTATTTATTTACACCTCCAGCTGAGCAGAGAGGCGCAGCCCTTGAGGCAGGCATTTTTGGCTCTGTCAAACTCGGCCGCCCTCGCCTTACAAGTCCGCCCCTGCGTCAGATACATGCGGCGCAGCTTGGTGATAGGTTTCTGCAGCTGATGGAGGAGGCCGGCGACATGGGCAAACCGCACGGCCAACCCTGGGTACGGCGGGCGACCCGCAAAGTGGATGCCGATGAGGCGATGGTCAGCGCCGTACACGGGGGCACCGGATGCGCCCCCGCAGGTGTTGCCACCGCCTCGGGCAACGAGATGACAGAAACCTAGCTCTGGATCTGGAGGGAGGACCGTCTCCTCTGACGTGATGGCAGAGGACCCTCTCCTCTGACGTGAGCCAAACTGGTAGCAGAACGACCGCTCACCACGGTCGAGAACGTCAGGCGGATGCGCTTCAGGTTCCCGGCGTCAGCGCCCACCACATGCGAGTTGGTGAGCATCCAGCCGCCACCGTAATGCGCTCCGGTGCCGCCGCGGATTTGGCCCGGATCCGCGTTGAGTATGTCGAGACGGCACGCAGCGGCGCGCGCACGCGCAGCCTTGTCGGTTGCCATGACTCACAGGGAGCAGCTACCAAAGGAGCTGCTCCTTTGGCAGGCGCTGACTGAGACACTCTGTGCGACACGCCGTGCACAAAAGAATTCATCATCCGAACGGAGCGGTGGCTGGCCGTCAAAAAGTAGCAACCGCCAGGGACGTCACAAAGTAGCAACCGCTGCCGCGCACGCGCACCAGCTCGGGCAGCCTGGACAGGATGGCCGGCGCTGCAGCTCCAGTTGGGTTCCATCTTTTCTTTCTTTCTTTCTGCATGCAGCTCCGGGCCGAGTTTTTCTTTTCCTGTGAGGACGACGGCTTCTATGATAGAAGCCGTCGTCTGCGCTTTGCCTGTTGTGTGTGCGAGAGACTTTAAATTCTCTTTTCCTCCTCCTGAAATTCTCTTGTGTCCAGCCCACCCCAGTGTTGTGAAGAGGGTGAAAAATTCTCAATTCCCCCCGCGTGATTGCGATGATCAGCGCCTCCACCTTCTGCATGCTCATGGCCGCCGTCTACGGCGGCTTTGGGTTCACGATGTTCCCGATGGTCAACTTCTTCTACGGTCCGGAGTCTCCGATCGCCTACTTCACACGGAGACGAGCGAGTTCCAAACGTTCTTTGCGCGGGTCGTCGGTCTGCTGTTCATCATGATCGTGCTCGGGCCGTACGCCTTCGGCGTTCCGTGTGAAAGTGCCTGCAAGCAGTACCTCGTGTGGAACACCCTCAGCTTGCCCCTGTTCATCCAGGCGGCGTTCTACTACAAGACTGCCGGGCCGGGCGTCAATGCCGTGACGCCGTTCAACATGTGGATCCCGCAGATCGGCATTGGCGTGGTGTTTCTCATCCTCAACCTCCTCGTTGTCTTCACCCCGCCGGCGAAGAAGGGCAAGGCGACGAAGTAGAGAAGAGTCGCTTTGCGTTCACTGGCAAGTGCTCTCGTGCGCGACGCAACACGCACCGGCCCTTGGTCCATGTGCGTTCGGTGGCCGATCGCGATGTGTCTGAAGTGCGGAAGAGAGGCTGAAGCGTCTCGTCTGGGGTGTGGGGTCCCCCCGGGCGGGGTGTTTTGTATAGCGGCACATGTCGTGGCTGTAAACGTCGTCGTGAGCTCGCGCAAGTGTGGTGTCGTATGTAGTAGGAGGCACGGCCGGGTGCTCCAATACACGCATGCTTGCCGCAATATGGCACATGCTCCAAAGTCCAATGCCCCCGGGGCTAGGGCTCTCTAGCCCGCAACCGATACCAATCGTCCGGCCCTGGGCGTGCGCGGTGCGGTTACCAACCGCACTCTCCAAGTGGAATTTTACAACAAAGCTCCAGTGGAAAGTGTGCTCCAAGTGTCCGCAAGTGCTCCCGCCCCAAAGGGCAAGGCGCAAAAGGGACGGTCAAGGGCGCGCGATACACGTGCAGCGGTGCACACACAGCTATGGAAACACCGTTTTTTCTTTCGAGAGCGCACATTTCGGGACAGTACAGGGAGCGGGCAGATGTGACATCCATTCGGAACAGGCGAAAGAGACATAAGCGCGAGCCGAGCGAGAGGAGCGGACCCACCCACGACATTGGGCGGGGCGAGCAATCAATATGCGTGTGTATATGTACGATATACGGCGGGCGGGGCGGGGGGCGGGGAAGGGGTACGTCGGGGATTTGAGTTCCTCGGGGCTGGCCGGCCGACCTCGTTGGTTCGCGCTTCAGAGTGCTGGGGCCCGCTCGCCACGCTCCTCGGGTCACGAGATCTCTCACTCACGGGCCTCCCCCCGTACCTCCACCCGACCCACCGCCCACGCCGCCGCCGCCCGCCCCGCCGTCACCCTCCTCGGCCGACCACGACGCCCTCGCCAGCGGCGCATCCTCGCCGAAGGAGCCGCGCACCCTCTCGAGCGCGCGGCGGGAGAGGGGTGAGACCCACGCGCAGGTAGACGGCGGCGCTGCAGCCTCAGTCGTCGGCGAGGCCGCACAGAAGCGCTGGAAGGAGCGGACGCGGCCGCCGCCGGTGACCTCCCAGAGCTGGTGCATGATCACCTCCTGGCCGCCCGTGGGCTGCTCGCCGTTGAGCAGGGTCGGCGTATGGCGGATCTGGACGGCGACCGAGCCGTCGAGGTTCTCGAGCACGTAGTCGATGTGGTACGCGCTCGTGTTGTACTTGGAGAAGATGGCGCGGTCCCACATGAGAAAGTACTTGATGCTCGGGATTTGGAACCTGCTCAGAGGGCGCATCCACGACACACGTCAACAGCGGCCGCACCTGGATGTGTGGTGGCGAGCCTCCGCGTGGTGGGCGAGAGTGGGCACACCTCGGCAAGGAGGCCGGCGTGGCCGCCCCCTCGATGGAGAGCTCGATGGAGACGAAGGCGTCGGGCGCGAACAGGGACTCCGCCATCTGAGACAGAGTCGGGAGGCGGTGTGCGTGAGCGCGGGCGGGCGTGGTGCTGGGTATGGGGCGTAGGCGAGAGGGCGAGAGTGTGAGCGCTCGCCGTCTCGCCGCTCGCGGTCCGGAACAGGCCGGTCAGCCAGTGGTTGAGCACACGCTCCACGACCGGCACAGGAGCCTCGCCGAGCGGGCGGTCGATGATGCTGCGCTTGCGCTTGCTCCTGCGCCGCAGGAGCTCCTCCGTCGCGATGGAGGCGAGGTGGTCGAGTGCGCCCGAGCTCGTCGGCGTCGACTTGCCCGGCAGGTCTTCGTCGCCGTCGCCAGGCTTGGAGCACAGAGCCGCGTAGCGTGCGACGCACTTGCTCCACTCCTCGCGGCGTGCCGTCGAATTGCCCCACCCTTGCGGGATCGCGATCGTCCGTTCCATCTCACTTAGCGCCTTACTGCTCGCCTGTTGGACCTGCTCCTATGAAAGGTGAGTCGCCATGACCAACCTGGCGGGTGACCTTGTTGCCATTCGGGTGCCCCTGGGAGGACGTCTGCAAGCCCCAGGCGCCTCACTGTCACAACAACAACAACTGTCTGTCACACGCTCATGTTTGTGTCGTGGGTGGCTGCGCATTCGGCAGTTGCCATCTCTCCCATCACCCTCATGGTCGCCATTCAACTCGGCGGAGAAGGCGTCTAGCGGCGCAGCCCCGCATCTTCTCTGCCGCAGGGCGAGGTGCAGGATGAGGTGAAGCAGGTCTGAGTTACGAAACGAAATGGAGATGCGAGGGGAGGTGACATCACGCGAAAAATCGCGGCCATGAACGGCGGCCGGTCTCTCCTGCCTTGGGACAGCGTTCTCGAGGCACAGTGGCGCGAACACAGACGAGTGCTCAGAAGGCGCTACGATGCCGCAAGCATTGAGTAGAGCCCGTGCAACGCGCATGCACGAGCGAGGCCCCGACGGGCAGTGGTGGGGTCTGGCAGGTGGCAGAGCGGGTGGCTGCCGCACGGCGCAAGGCTCAGTCGGCTTCTACGACATGGCTCAGTGGGCGACGACCCACAAGGAGTGCCGCAAGCTGTGCTCCGAGAAGATGCACTGCCTGGCGTTCGAGTTTGCCTCGTTTCCGTCGGGCTACACGAGATGCGAATTGTGCGCCGGCTCTCACCACCCTCTCGCTCGCTGCTCTCTCGCGCACTGCTCTCCGCTCGCCGCTCTTCGCCTCTCCCAACGCTCTCTCGCTCGCTGCTGTCGCCTCCTCTGTCGCCCACTCCTCCCAACCCTCCGGTCGATCGCAGGCACCGCATCGCTCCAACGCACAGCTTCCCGGTCGACGGCTACCTCTGCTGGCTCAAGATCCCTCCAATCTCGCCGCCGCCGCCGCCGCCGCCGCCGCCGCCGCCGCCCAGCCCGCCGCCAAGCCCTAGCCCTCCACCGCCAGCGCCGCTGCAGCCGCCTGCGCCGCCAGCGACCCCGCCGCCGCCGCCACTGCCGCCTCCGCAGGCGCCGCCGCCGCCGCCGCCGCCGCCGCCGCCGCCACTGCCTCTGCTGCCGCCGCCGGCCACGCCGCCTCCACCCTCGCCCTCGCCACCTCCGCCGCACCCCCCGCCCCCGCCCTCGCCCTCGCCGCCGCCTCCCTCGCCTCAGCCGCCGCCGCTCCCGCCGCCGCCG